CACTCATCCGTCACCGATAGTTCACATCCAACTAGGTCACAGCCATGGAGCCCCTGGTGTCGGGCAGCGTCTGTAGCCCGCCTGGCATGCAACCTGGGTGCCTCCCTCTCTGCTTCCTGCCAATCTGGGGGTTCAGCCTGTGTTACCTGCAGCCTCAGTGTCCCGGGGATGCCTGGGCTACCTAGGTTGGGCAGGGAAAAGTGGGTTTTAGTTCTGATCCCATACTCTTCTGTACATCTTAGGTTCCTTTATATAAACAGAGCCTCTCAATGGTTGCAGACATGGGAGAAATAGACTCTTAATTTCTCTCTCCTGGGGTTCAAATGCTGGCGATCCCACCTTCCAGCTGTGTGACTGGGGGGACATGTGCTGAACTTGCTTCCCCTGTAAGATGGTGTAAGGAGCCATCTTACATACCACTCCGTGGTTCTCAACCTTCCTAATGCCGCAACCCTTTAATACAGTTCCTCATGTTGTGGTGACCCCCAACCATAAAATTATTTTCGTTGCTACTTCATAACTGTAATTTTGCTACTGTTATGAATCGTAATGTAAATATCTGATATGCAGCATTTATTTTCAGGGGTCGTGACCCACAGGTTGAGAACCACTGAGAGTGTTGAATAAAGAACCAGTGAGCTATGACAAGTGTTCAGAGCCCTGCTTGGCACATAGCAAGCCATATATATATATATATGTGTGTGTGTATATATATATATATATATATATATATGTTAGCTGCTAATAGTAATGATTATTATTACTGTGCTGATGGGCCTCAGCCAGGGGAATAAGTTATGATAGGTTTTCACCACCGCCTGTTTTGGAGACTACCTTGTCTTTGCCAGCTCCTTGCAAAAATCTATTTTGGGCACATTCTCCCATGTCATTCCATCTCACGTGTGAAAGCTTGTCAGTAAAGGTCACCTGCCACCAGCTCGCTGCCCCCAGGTCAGCAGTGATGGGTGACTCTGTCCCTCCAGGGGCCAGGAAATGACATTTCTCAGTAGTCAGACCAGCGCTGATCTAAATCATCAGCAGTGGTGATTCTGAGTCGGACTTCCAGAGGCAGGCCTGCGGCTTCGTGAAAGGAGCCATGGCCTGGGAGACGGACACTGGGCCAGGCTGCTCCCCCTGCTGTGTGACCTTAGGCAAGTCACTGTCCCCCTCTGGGCCGTGGCTTCTTCACGCTTGAATTTGCCCAGCCCAGAAACAGTCAGGAACAGCCTCTCTCTGACATCTCTTTAAAAGCACGGGTCATACTTGTACTTTCACATGGACAGTTACTTCATGATCTCTGTGTTCGTCTCCGCGTTCATAGTCCCTGTCACTGTGTGGCACAGAGTCCGTGCTCGTTTTAATATTTGTTGAATGAACGAATGATGTGGTACAAAGAGAAAGATTTTGGAGCAAGACCTGATTTTGTTTTAGAATTGGCTACTTACACCCGGCCGGCATGGCTCAGTGGTTGAGTCTCATGTCAACATATGAACCAGAAGGTCACAGTTTGATTCCCGGTCAGGTCATGATTCCCAGGTTTTGGGCTCGATTCCCAGTGTGGGGCGTGCAGGAAGAATCAGTGATTCTCTCTCATCATTGATGTTTCTATTTCTCTCTCCCTCTTCCTTACTCTCTGAAATCAATAAAAATATATTTTAAAACAAAAAAATTAGCTACTTACTAGCTGAGTGACCCTGTGTTAGTCTGAGCTTCAGGATTATCATCTATAAAAGAGATAATAATAGAAACAGCCTTACCGCATTGTTTGAGGATTGAATGTGAAACCACATGTACAAACACACACACACACACACCACCAAGGCGAACCCTGGCCCACCATCTAGCATATAATGGGTATGGGATAAACAGTAGCTGTTATTTGCTTCTCTAGACTAGCACAGGGGGATGGAGTATTCTCTGTTCTGATGATTGAAAACTAGTTGAAAAGGCAAATCTGAATATGCAGCCATAGACTCTGAGTGGGTTCACTGATCCCAGAGCCACTGGGTTGCAAATAGTTCCACAAAACCCCCTTGGCCTGCCAACGACCCCACCACCTTCTTGCCCCCCTTCCTTTAACCTTCCCTGCTTTTTCTGTATATTTGCCTGTAGGCGATACCCAAACCCAGCTCCCTGGGCAGATACAGATCAGAACGAGGGGTGATGGGGTGAGAGATGGCCTGATGTGGGTGGGGAGACGAGGAGGCCGGCGTCCCTGTCCTAGCTCCAACCTGGTCCATGTGACCGTGGGCAACCCGTCTCTCTAAGCCTCACTCTTCTCACCTGGGAAGTGCTCAGCCCATTGACACAGGACTCGATGGTTAGTGGTTAGGAACCTGGGTCTCAGGTTTGGCTCAGGCTTCCTGTCTCAGCTCTGCAACTCACCAGCGGGCCAGTCAAGTACCATTTCCAAAAACACAGACAGTGGGATTCGAGTGGGCTTATTTGGAGGGATGAATGACCGTCTCCTCAGTGTGCCTCGCAGACTTGTGCATGGTAAGTTAAGACTGTTGACCGGTGGGCCAGCCCTTATTCTCACTTAGTGTCCACTTCTCCCTGTTGATGCAGCCCACATCTCCTGAGCCGGACCGGCATCCGTCAGCCGCCCTGCTGGCCCAGCACTTGGCGAGCACAGACTCTTGCGCAGCAAAGACGTGATCCCATTGGGTGTGAGGGACACGGTTCGCGTGCAGTTATTTTCATGCCTGGCCAGGCCCTCCTAGCGTCTGGTGGGTGTGTTCTTAGAGGAACATCCCCTCTCTCCTCTCTCGACCCTTCAAACACACAGGAAGGAAACCTCGATTTCATGCTCCTCCTTTCCAGCCAGTGGCCTCTTCCAGGGAGGCCTGCTGGCCCTCGCTGCTCTCTCCTGCGGGCTACGTGCCGCTTCCTTCCTTCCTTACTGCTGCAGCCACTTCACGCTGGGAAGGGAGGTGGGGGTAAAGATAGCACAGGCTGCTGGCCCCGTCTTGGAGGGGAGAAGAGAGCCTAGTATACAGGGCCACCCTGGCACGCAGGCGCAGTGCTGGGCCATGCTCTGAGTACTTTGTGAAGTCGGAAAGGCTGATCCCCACATGGCACATGGGGAAACTGAGGTCCCAAGAAATGAAACCAGTTGCCCCAGGACACACACAGCTGTGAGCCTAGCTGGGATTCGGACCTGGGCTGCTTTGACGTCCCAGCTTCTTGCTCTGCTGTCGCACCGTTGCTGGGGACAGGTGGGAAGGGGTGTGGTTTGGGTGCTGTTATTCACTGTCCCGTGGGAGAGAGACCTGGGCTTACACCCCAGTATGTATCCGGCCAGCGTCAAGGGCTGCTGCTGCTGCACATCCATGGGAACCCGAGAAAGGCAGAGTGAGACGGGCCTCAGACCTCTCTTTAGGCGGCAGCCCCGGGCCCTGGTACAGGTGACTGTGGCTGAAGGGTAGTGGGAGTCCGGAGGCCCAGTGCCTGCCCTCAGGGAGGAGTGAGCGAGGACATCGGATCATAGAGAGGAAAAGGTGGGGGTTATTTTAGTTCCTCTGTAATGTGACCCAGCGTGCGGTTTTCTAGCCTGATCTTTGTGGCATAGAGGAAAGAACACGGGCCCTAGAGTCAGACTTACTCACACTGATATTGGAATTCCAGCTCCGGCACCTACCAGCTCGGTGGTCCTGGCCAAGTAACTTCTCCACAGTTTAGTCTTTAAAATTGCATTCCTGTTTTGGTCATCGCAAGGGTTTTAGAAAGACAAAGAGTGTAAAACCGATGGTGAGGTGTTCTGCCCTAGACACGCTCCCCAGCAGAGCGGTGAGCAGTGCCCCTCCAAGTGCCACCCCCTCCTCCCAGGCCCTGTCGCCCCAGGAAACTCCCACTTGTTCTTCAAGCCCCAGTCCCGGCATCTCCCTCTATGATGCTGCTCTGAGCAGAATACAGCTGCACTTCCCCCTGACTCTCCCTCCATGATTACATCCTGTTACCTTCTGGGGACCCATCCCCCAGCCAACCTTGAGCGAGCTGTGGGTGGCACTGCCAACAAGGGCCTCTGCTCATCTCCCAACCCGGCCGGTCCACTGTGGGCACTTCACCGTCAGACCCAGCATTTCCTGGGCTCTCGCCTGTGCCAGGCACCATTATCACAAGAATAGCAATGATTTTCCCAGCAAATGGGCTGGAGGTGGAAACCACACCAATTATTTGAATAGGGAATTGGATCTTTAAAAATGATAACTAGATACAGTGTTCACTTAGTAACTAAAAAAGCAAAAATAGGGTGTTGCAGGGAACAGTTACCACCCGCAGGAGGAGTAGAGGTGGCAATTATTGGAATATTGTCACCTGGGGCTGGACCCCAGCCCTGGGGTGGAGTCAGCAGCCAACGCCAGAGGCAGCGACAGGGCGGAGATGGGAGGAGGGGGCGGCCGGTTCTGAGTGTTGGAAAAACTGCAAACATGGATTTTGCTGCTGCGGAAGGAAGGAAGCGCCGCTGCTGATGTGAAAAAGGGGGTGGCGTGTCGCTCACAGGAACAGGGAGCCCCAGGAAGGAGCGAGTTCTTCCTTCTCCTGCTGACTCGGTCTCCCTCCCTTGGCCCCTGTTGGCAGCGCCTAACAGAGCAGCTGGCAAAGCAGTGACAGGGTTTGCAGGGTCCCAGCTTCGTCGCCCCAAAGCAGGTTGGGGCCGAGAGGTGAAAACGTATGCACTGGCAAACGCAGGAGCTGTTGTTGTTCCTATTTCACAGGTGGGGAAACTGAGGCACAGAGAGATGGAGTAACTTATCCAAGATTAAATGAGTCCCTAGAGCAGAGCCAGGATTTGAACCCAGCAATCTGGCCTCAAACGCTCTTCATAAACATTGAATGAATGAGTGAGTGGATGGATGAATGAATGAGTGAATGGATGAGTGAATGAGTGGATGAATGAATGAATGGGCAAGCCCAGAAATAATGCGTCCCAGTGCCCTGTGCCGGCTCCTGCAAGCGCAAGGTCCGCCCGGCCTGACTGCCTCCTCGTGCCCTGCCAGGTCATCCACTGGAACTCCCCCAAGAAGCTCCGGGTGAAGAACAAGCACGTGGAGTTCTTCCGCAACCTCTACCTGACCTTCCTGGAGTACGACGGCAACCTCCTGAGGCGGGAGCTGTTCGGCTGCCCCAGCGAAGCCGATGTCAACAGTGAGAACGTAAGTGGCTCCGGGGTGGGCGGTGTGGGGCGGCTTCTCGCTGGTCCGCGAGGACCTCCGGCGTGCCAGGCTGTGTGCCAGGCTCAGGGCACGCCCGAGATGAACGAGACGCCATCACTGCCCTGAGGATCCCCCGTCTGGTGGGGGTGACGGGCAGGCAGGCAGATCACATCCATGCTCATTGCCATGGATGCAGGGGGGTTCGCTTGGCCCAGACTAGGCACCGTCAGAAGGGAGCTTCCACGCAGAGGAGTGAGAATGGGCTAAGACACTTTGGGAACAGTAGACCAGCGGTTCTCAACCTGTGGGTTGCGACCCCTTTGACGGTCGACCGACCCTTTCACAGGGGTCGCCTAAGACCATCCTGCATATCAGATATTTACATTACGATGCATAACAGTAGCAACATGACAGTTATGAAGTAGCAACGAAAATAATTGTATGGTTGGGTCATAACATGAGGAACTGTATTTAAAGGGCCAGAAGGGTGAGAACCACGGCAGTAGACAGAAGCTCTCTCCACAGCCAGGAGTCAGTGTGTGGCACCAGAGATCTTCACCACTCACTGGCTCCTTTAGGGGTTAGCATGGGTGAAGGAAGTGTTAGGTAGGTGGTCACAGGCATAGCTAACATCTATATTTTCTTATTTCTTCATCGTTTATAATTATTTCATGTTCTGTCTCATATGGTGCTCATAGACACCCCTTTTCCCCTTCCCCCCAGTTAGAGCTGAGGAAATTTAGGCACAGAGAGGTTAAGCAGGTTGTTCACGGTCACACAGCAAACAAGGAGCAAAGGTGAGACTGATTGGAAGTTCTGAGGAGCAGGATGTGGGGAAGCAGCTCCTGTAGAGGAAGAGCAGAGAATGTAGGGCCAGGCTGACCTGGTTTGGGCCTTTTTTGTTTGTTTGTTTGTTTAAAGTATTACATATGCCTCCTTTTTCCCCGATTGACACCCCCCCCGGCCACTCCCACACCCCAGGACAAGCCCCCACCTCCCCAGTGTCTGTGTCCATTGGTTATGCTAATATGCATGTGTACAAGTCCTTTGGTTGATCTCGCCCCTGTTGGCAGTGCCTAACAGAGCAGCTGGCAAAGCAGTGACAGAGTTTGTAGAGTCCCTGCTTCAGCATCCCCCCTCCCGCCGCACCCCGCCCTCCTCTGCCTTCTCTCTGAGGTTGGATGGTCTGTTCAGTGTTACCTTGTCTCTGGATCTATTTTTGTTCAATCAGTTTATGTTGATCATTATATCCCACCTATGAGTGAGATCACGTGATATTTATCTTTCTCTGATTGGCTTATTTCACTTAGCATAATGCTCTCCAGGTCCATCCATGCAGTTGCAAATGGTAAAAGTTCCTTCTTTTTTATAGCAGTGTAGTATTCCATTGTGTAGATGTACCACAGTTTTTTAATCCACTCATATGCTAATGGGCACTTAGGCTGTTTCCAAATCTTAGCTGTTGTAAATTGTGCTGCTATGAACATAGGGATGCATATGCCCTTTCTGATTGGTGTTTCTGGTTTCTTGGGATATATTCCTAGAAGTGGGATCACTGGGTCAAATGGGAGTTCCATTTTTAACTTTCTGAGGAAACTCCATTCTGTTTTCCACAGTGGCTACGCCAGTCTGCATTCCCACCAGCAGTGCATGAGGGTTCCTTTTTCTCCGCATCCTCGCCAGCACTTGTCGTTTGTTGATTTGTTGATGATAGCCATGCTAACAGATGTGAGATGGCACCTCATTGTTGTTTTGATTTGCATCTCTTGGATGATTAGTGACTTTGAGCATATTTTCATATGTCTCTCGGCCTTCTGTATGTCCTCTTTCAAAAAGTGTCTATTTAGGTCCTTTGCCCATTTTTTTATTGGATTGATTATCTTCTTTCTGTTAAGTTGTATGAGTTCCCTGTAAATGTTGGAGATTAAACCCTTATCTAAGATAGCATTGGCAAATATGCAGTGGTTTTCTTGTTGTTTTGTTGATGGTTTC